AGCATCTTTAGATTTTCCCAGTAGCTGATGAAACAACACTACTTTGATTTTGGTTATGGAAACAAAACCTTTAAAAAACCTGCTGATGTATCAATTTTAGTTTTCTTAGTGGAAGAATAAATTGTATGCCCCATTTCTCAGTGATTTGACCACTCCACCTGGCAGCTCAAATGGTGCAGGTGTCAAAGCCTTCCCTGCTTAATGGCCAAAACAGAAATAATAAAATAAAGAAATAAAAGGGGGGGGTTGTGGAAATTCCTGGTACATGGCAAGCTACAGGGAGAAAGGGACTGGCAAAACCTTTACTGAAAGATGGGAGAATTACCAATTTCACAACTGTTCGTTCTCCAGTCAGGCACCTGCTACTCCACATTCACTCACTCCCAGCCATCCTCTGACTGTAAAGGCAATTTCTACAGATGGCAGAGGATGAAAAAGATATACTAAACACTACACTAAAGAAGAAACGTCATTGCAATTGTTTATCCACTCTTCCGGTAACAAATTGAATTTGGGGAAGTATGAGACACATGGCAAACTGGGGTTGACCAAAAGTGAGTAACAAAAATGTAGTACCCTTGTAGAAAAAGGTTTGTCTCCTTTCCAAGTGGGACACAAGATCCCAAGGACTATCTCAAACATTAGTACAGAATCACCTGACTTTAAAAGTCCAACCTTTTTTATATCCTTTCCCTACCCTGTACTTCATTCAAAATAATCCAGAGTTCTCAGCCTCTCATCACAAGTACCTGCTTCTCATCTTTGCACTGCAGGAAGCATCACAAGCTAAAAAACTTACTTTAGAAACAGGCTTCTAAAGAATTCCTAAGTGCAAGAACTGCATTTAAAGAAAAAGCAGAAATGAGAGGAATGTACTTGGCAGGGACACTGACCTAGCAGGAACTTCAGCTTGAACCCCAAGTTGAAGCACAAAACTATTCTCTTTTGAGGGTACAATCAAACCCTTGCACAGAAAGTCACAACTATTTGATGCTCCAGAAAGTGAAATCTTCACAGGTTTCGTGGGAGCAGACTTAAAACTTTCAAGGACCTCAAAATGACACCATTCCTAGAGGAAATCCAGGACAGGCTCAGCTCCCACATGGGTAAGAATGGGAATGAAGGTGGAAAAGGTGTCCTGTCGTGGGCTGGAGAAAGGAAAGTGAATGGAGACATGGCCAGTTCCATCTGTTGAAGTTTTTAGCTCTTCTAACCAGAGCTTATTGCTGAGTTTACCCCACAGCCAACCCCAAAGTCCCCCCCCCAAAACTGGGGGACCAGGTTGCTCAGGGCAACAGCCTCTGAATTCCCAGTCTAGAATAATCCAGTAAAACCAGAGCACCAGACTGGTAAGGGGAAGCAGGGCTCCCTGGAAGTGTCCCGGGCCAGGCTGGATGGGGCTTGGAGCAACTTGGGATAGTGGGAAGTGTCCCTGCCCATGGATGGAGTGGGCTTTACAGCCCCTTCCCACCCAAACCATTCCATGACTCCGAGATACACCATGTCCAGATGTTCTTCCACAGCCACCAAGTACCCACCATGGCCCAGCCCTGCTCGAGGAGGGCTGGAGCTTACCCCCGTAGTCCTTGTGTTTATTTGAAATTATGCTCTTGCCCCCAGATAACTTCCCCAGACAGCCTCATTGCTGCCAGAAAGTAGGTCAGTGTCATTTAAAGCCGCCTTGAAATGCATCTCCACAGAAACTTCTTAATCTTTAAAAAGAGAACGCATCAAATATTTATCGGGCGGTGCAAAACACTGGGAGATGCTCATGGGGAGAGCTCTTCTGTGTGTGCTGCATGAAATGGCTTTCCATGCCTCACTGACTGTGGAGCAGGGCAGGAGAGTGGCTGGCTGCAGATAAAGCCCCATACAGAAGTCTTTATCTGCCCAGCAAATCACAGTACGTGACTCCCCAACTCGTTCTCCCGGTGCCATGTGATCCTGGAGCTCACTGCTTCCTCCAGGAGCTCCTCTCAGCCCTAATGATCCCTGCTGCAGATTTTCCCCTATCAGCCAGGCAGCTCATTCTCCAAACTTCAATATTCCTAATTATCAAACATTCAGCACTGCAAAATGTAGCTGAAATTTGCATCTCTGCAAGAGTGGCTCTGAAGAAAGGATGGTGCATTTGCATTCAGACTGGTTAATTCCTGCAGGATAACATTTCATAAACAAAATGCTTCATTGAACATGGAGATTTTCAGCTTTTACAAAGGAAAGTGAACTTAAACAAATACAAATCAGTTGAGTGATTAACTTTAAGTGTTTTGGTTTTTTAAAACTAATCTTTATGTATAACTAGTATCAGCAGAACAATCTTTACTGATTAAAGAAGCGAATGATAGTGAAACTCAAGCCACTGAAAATTAAGCGGGGAGGTAGAAGGCAACTGCAAGGAATCATTTAAGGTAAATAAGAGAGGGGGAAAAACCCTAAAACATGAAAAAAACCTGTAAAAACACCCCACACCTACTCACAACCCAGTCACCCTGGGTAAGGTGAGCACAACGGGTTATGTAAGGCAAGCTTAAATTGTGGCCAACGTGAACAGGTTAAGGAGTGAAACTAAACATGCTTTCCCCTGCCCCCCCCCCAAGCTTTGTCATAATCCTAAATGTTATCTTAATTAGCCTAATTGTCTTAATTATACTTCGCAGCAACTTGAGCCTTCACAGCACAATTCCAGCGTCTTTTTTTCCAGCTTTGTTCCAGCGCTGGAAGAGGCAGCGACTCCTCTGCCAAAAGCCAAAGGCCACGTGATGCCTCCCAGGAAGTTTCCTCCCACCTGGGTATTCTTCTTCTCCAAAAGCTATTTCTTATTCCCTACAGAATCTGAGTCCAAAACACAACAAAAGAAGAGACAGTGATGGGGGAAGAAGGCATACTTTTCTTAGCTAACTTAAATCTTCTCCATATTTTTCCACCTTGTTCAGCGAGAGGGCTTCAGTGCCCAACACTTCTCACAAAAGCTTTGCAGAGTGAAATGAAAAAGCAAAAAAAGCACAGAAAAAAACCCAACCCAAAGCACTTCCATTCATCTATGCCGCAACAACTTCATGGCACGGCTCCTAAAACATCCCATTAGTGCTGGCCTTGGAGAAGATTAGAGAAGAAAGCTTGAACCTACTGAAGCAAGGCTTAATAGGCTCTTGAGTTAAGCCAGAGCCTTCCCTTAAACAATGCCCATCATTAGGAATAATTACCTGTAGCTGTATAATCAACATGGCTATGATAACTGACATGAGAAGTCCAGATGTCATCTTTGGCAAGGCTTGAGAAATATTTCTGCTCCTTATAATACAACTGATTCTTGCAAGAGAAACAAGCAGCAAGAACACTGGGGATGAAAAGCCACCATGAAACACTTCAGAATTCCAACCCAGCCCTTGGAAGTACAACCAGATTAAGAACCCAGCATCCAGGAAGGGCACAAGGTGGGTATCCAACAGCATCCTGCCCAGCTGCCGCACCCTGGGTTTTGATCAGACTACCCTTCTCAGCACCATTCTAGACAGGGCTGCTAGAAAAACAAAGCTCAAGCTGGTTTTTGGATTGACAGGAATGCTGAACCAAAGCAGCAGAAAGAGGCAGGAGAAACAAGTATTCAGTGATGAATTATGAAAGGAAGCAAGGCAAACCTGCATCAGGCTTCCACTGCATAACAGCCCAACCAGGAAGGACATCACCACTTCCCAAACCTCTGGAGAGCGGCTCCTTAAGAAGCCAAGAAATACCCACGGTTGGGTTTGGACTGCAGGTGGGTGTTTAAGGTGTCCCACCACCACAATGAGAGAAAAGCAGATGGCCACAGCTGCCCAGCCTCACTCCTGAGTCATGGAAACACTGAAACAACAATTATCTGTTATCTGAAAAACAGAGCTCCTGAAAAACATCATTCTGCATTTGTGTCTCCAGTGAACACCTGCATTCATACAAACACACATTTCTCAACTCCTCATAGTACCAACAAATTTCAAAATCTAAGACTGCTACATTATGGAAGCAGAGGCCAGGTTTGTTTTTTTCTTTTTGATAATTCTGATGATTTTAGAGACTCATAAACTCTTTTCAGTTGTGAGGAGAAGGTCAGATCTCCCCCTGGTGCCTGGAGACTCCAGCTCCCCTATTTATTGCAGGATTTCTTCCCCCCACAAACAAGCGGTTCCTTAAATCTTAGGAGCTGTTCTCTGGCTTTTAGCACTTCAGCCTTAATTGTTAACCCCAGCCTGATTAAACTGAAGTCACAGAGTAATCTCTCAGAGGCAGAGTGAAATAAGTCCTTCCACGTGCCTTGTTGTTGTTGGATTATTTGCTTCCCAGCAGCCAGTTCTGTACCATAAACTGAAACAGCCCAAGCACAATTAAAATTCCTCTAACAAAGCTCTAACTAACACAAAAGTTGCCCCAGACTCCCTAAAAACAAATGTGTGAGGCAGCTTTAAGCTGGAAAGCAGGTAACTGAGCAGCTACAAATTCTCCTGACAGACAGAAATGCATAATTTGGTAGTGATGAATCATGCCTCAAATTACAAGACACATTAGGGATAATCCTCCAGACAGCATTGAGGTGCATCAATTGACTTTTGTTCCAGCAAAACTATTCCTTCCTGTTAAGAAGTCCAACAGGTTTCTTAAATATCAATAAAGGCCCCAGCAGAACCATGCCTGTTCCTTGGAAATAACACTCCATATCGTTAAGGCTCATCAGCACAGATTTAACAAATTAAATATCTGGTTAATTACTCAGAAAATTCCAATTTTCACTGATGCAACGATTAGAAACCCAAATTTTAGAACAATCAGAAGACTGAAACAGTAAAACTTCCTTGTAACTCTTGGGTAACATCTACAGCACTTTCCACCTTCACACCAAGTTTCAGACGAAGCACGAAAGGGAGGGGGTCTGGATGACCATTTCAGCACAATTAAAAGGTGTGTTCATGCAGCAAACTGTGTTTTGGGGTCGCTGCTGGGACTCCAAGTGGCCTTACCCTTACCTGGATGGCTTTGGGAGCTCATTGCTGGCAATGTCTAGTCCTTGGGAGAAGGGATTGGAGACAAATCAGTTCCCACGCGAGTAACAGCAGCTCAAAAGAGCTCCAGTGCTTCACCAATACATAGGAGTGGGAAGTGGGGATTAAATCATGGCCACCTTGTAAAATCCAGGGCACAGTGACATGCTGAGTCGTATGGGAAGTAATCCAAGAGGGTGGCAGAGTGTCTTCCAATAGCTTTTAAAATGGGAACCTGCAATTAAAGAAAAAGATGTCTGCGTTAGCAAATGAAGATTAACAGCCATTTATATTGTACATTATATAACCTATTTATCCCTGAGATTAAACTACAATGCTATTTTAGGCATTAAGGGCTGCAGAGAGAGTAATTTTCAGAGTTGTAAATGTTACTTTGATTAATAACCATAAAGATGCAAATTAATACTTAACATTATTTTTAAAAAAACAATTAAACAACTTTCCAACGACACATTCACGTCTCAGAAACCCAAAATTCCGTGTTAATTCTCATCCTCCAACAGCACCATATGAAGCCACTTCAGTCCAACAGCTTCCATATTTTAAAAGCCATATGTATGAGTGGTAACTGTACTTCACGCATCTGTTCCCCAAAGAAGTCTAAAGAAAAATTCCTCAGTGCCAAGAAGTGGTCTTGGAGCAGGAAGGAAAAAAACCCACACAATCAATTCCACTCCCACTCTACCCAAGCCTCCAGCAGATTACCAAGAAGCAGCTCCATACTGCCCCAGGGGAAAAAAAATCCACCACTCCCAATTATTTTGAAGCTGTGTAGTAGAGGGAGGGAGAGAGAACAGAGGGGAAATGACCCACAGAGCCAGCAACCTCTGCCCCAGCCCCCCAAAATATGGAAGTAAAGAAACCATACCCTGGTTTGGAGAAACCCCACCTGAGACCCATGGTGACCTAACCAGCCACCCTTATAGCGACAGAACTTGCTCAAGTTCAGTTTTGGGGGGGTCAGGGGGTTTTTGGCACTATACCAAGTGACAGCCAGTATTTCCCATCCTTGGAAGTGTCCAAGGCCAGGCTACACTGGCCTTGGAGAAACCTGGGATAGTGGAAGGTGTCCCTACCCATGGCAGGGGGTGGAATGGGATGGGCTTTGAGATTCCTTTCCCCCCAAACCATTTTGGGATTCCTGAGCATCCCTGTTTTACAGGCAGGCTGTCTCAGGGACTGTGCTGTGCCACTGGCACGAGCTCCCAGCCAACACCACTGACCCAGACTGAACCCAGCTGTGTCCTTCATGCAGAGTACCCCAGTGCCACAGGTGATCTCCCTTCTTTGCACCATAAAACACCAGCAGCCCAGCCCTCCTGGGTACCCAGGGGAGCTCCTCCTGCCCAGCCAGGCATCACCCAGTGCTGGGGTGAGGTCACCCTGCTGGCAGCAGCCAGCTCCAGCCCATCCCCACGGATCCAGCTGACTCTGCTCACCCCAAACTGCTCTGGCAGCAGCTCCCAAGGAGTGGTGCCCTGCAGCACCACTGGGGCGAGGGATGGCTGCTGGCAGCTGCCATGGGAGCTGCCATGGGGATTGCTCCTGCCTTGCACAAGGACCCTTTGGCCACAGTGTGGCTGTGCCACAGCATTTCAGGCAGTGCTGGCTGTTCCTGGAAGAGCTCTTAGCACGCTCAGATTTGAGTGTTCCTTTCCAAGAAACAATACCAGGTCTGAGACTTCCAGCATCGGCACAGTTGTTCAGGATGGGCTTTCTAAGGTTACTTCCCTGATGCGCAGGAAAATGCCTGGGCAGGCACTGCTGAACACAGTCCCTTCCTTGCTGTGCTTCATTAAAAGCCCCCTTTAATTGGCTGTTTCTCTGCAGCCCAAGTGTCTCAGCATCACCACTCTCCAAGCTCCTCTCTGCCCATCTTGCATTCTTAGAGACCTGGAACGCATTCCATGTTACGCGTCAAATTCAAGAGAAAATCACTTAAATGTCATTTCTAATCCCTGCAGGTCTCTGCCATCCCGAATGTTCAAGATGTTCCAGTCCCATTAATCAGCACATCCTGTTAAACAGAGCTGGGTCAGCTTAGACCAGGCATTAGCAAAATACTAACATAATTTATTTTCATTAAAACCAGCAGGTACTGTTGTAGCATAAGCCATCTCAGCTGCAGACAAGAAGGATTTGGAGTGGAGTTACCAGATCTCCCTGTCCTCATTTTCCCAGCACAAGAATGAGAATGAACAGTGAAAGTTTCCTAAAGAAACTGGACTGAATGAACAGCACCAAAACCATTCAACAGCATTGCCAGTTTAATCTATTCCTGCTTCTGCCTCATCCCTGGAAGAGTTCAAGGCCAGGGGCTTGGAGCAGCCTGGGACAGTGGGAGGTGTCCCTGGCCATGGCAGGGGGTGGAATGGGCTGGGTTTTAAGGTCCCTTCCAATCACTCTGTGATTCAATTATTCTCTCCAGGACACAGCAGTCCTGTCACAAATTACCTCCTCCCAAACTGTAATTTTCAGGTAGCCCTTGCACTGATCTCCATGCAGACCAATACCAGGCCTCCACCTGCAAAATTTCTTCTGTAAATTTGTCCTTTTGCCACCATCTCAAGGAAAACACTCCTTAAATTAAAAGAAGTGAAACGCTGTCTCTCTCTATGCCTCGGCTATCGGGAGGTCTAGAGGGTTTTCCAAGCAAATTATCTCATTTAGAAAAAAAAATAAGATTAAAAAGAAAAACAAACCAAGTTTGTTTAACTTCTGCTCCAGTGCCTCCCAGGACAAGGGCGATCACCTCTGTCCCGAGGAACAGCGAGTCCACCCCGAGCATCACTGCAGAGGCACGGGCAGGGACTGGCTCAGGGCCACGTGCCCGCTGCCACCCCGCACACAGGAGGCACCCCGAGCCTTGGCCAGACGGCCCCAGCAAGGCTCACTGCTGCATTTTGGGGTGCACCTCAGGCCAAAGATGGGCACAGCCAGCCAGAGCGTGCCACCAGCCCCAGGATCACCTGCTGGCCACGGGAACTGGCCTGGCAGACAGCAGGCAGGGCCCCGGGGACAGTGCCAGGTTTGGCAGTCCCTGGGCACTGAGCAAAGGAAGGGCTGTGCAAAGGAGAGCAGCCACGGCCAGGGCAGCGGCTGGCACCGCAGGGAGTGCCCGGCAGAACGGGGCTCAAACCAGCAGCTTTGTCAAACGTTATTTAACCGGCACTGGCATCACCAAGCTTCCTGCCTTGCAGGAGAATTTTCAGAGTCTGGTCACTGCTGGATTTTTAAAAATCTCAGGAACAGGAGCACAAGGAGCCACTTAATGCCTGTTTATTTCAGCTTGCTTCTAGCAGGGCACACCCGAGAGCACAGGCTCCCTAAAGCACGGGGGCTGGTGCACCAGCAGCTGTACCCGCATCACACCCTGGATCAGAGGGTGGCCACGGTCTGAGAGTGCTGTCACCTCCTTGTCACAGCCCCAAACGAGCCTCTCTTCCTGCAGGACAAATTGAGGGGTTGCAGCACCTCATTTCTCCCTGGTTTGGAGCCTCAGCAAACCACCAAGCCTGGCAAGGCACCTTCCCTGGATTTAAAGTAATTCCAGATCTTCTCCTACCCCAACAGAAAGCTTTTTTTGTTTTTATTTTTGGGGTTTTTTTTGTTTTGTTTTATTTGGTTTTTTGGTTGTTGTTGTTGGGTCTTTTGTTTGTTTGGGTTTTTTTTTTATTTTTTTGGTTTTTTTTTTTACATAAGAATCGTACAGGTCTGCCCCAAGAATGATTTGTTGATAGGAGGCCTGGAGCAGCTCCCCTACAAAGACAGACTGAAAAAGCTGGGGCTGTCCAGCCTGGAGAAGAGAAGGTTGCGTGGTTGGTTACCTCAAAGCAACACTCCATTATCTGAAGGGGCTCTGAGGAAGCTGAAGAGGGACTCTGCATCAGGAACTGCAGTGAAGGCACAAGGAATAATGTGTTCACACTGACAAGAGTGGGAGTTTAGGTATCAGGAAGAATGTTTTACTGTGAGGGTGGTGAGACACTGGCACAGGCTGCCCAGGGAGCTTGTGGATGCATCGCTAGCACTGCTCAGTACCAGGCTGGATGGGGCTTGGAGCAACCTGGGACAGTGGAAGGTGCAGGGGGGTAGAATAAGGGGATCTTTAAGGTCCCTTCCAACCCCTTATGGTTCTGTGATTCTGTGGCAGCATGAATGTTCACCTTTCTCCTCCCAGCCCCTTCCAGATGTGCTTCTGTGCCATCACAAGTCCAGATGTGCAGCAACCACTGAGGGTCACCACAGAACTTTATTGACAGAGCTCCATTTCTCAGAGCTTTAATTGCTCTCCAGCCCCGATAAGAATCTTGGCCTGGGGCTGGCTTTTCAGGCTGACTCAGCCGGGTTACTGGGGACCAGGAGCTCTGGTGCCCCGGCTCTCCCTGACACAGCAGCAGCAGCACTGCTGCCAGCATCCCTTGGAGCACATGCTGGAAGGCCTTCCACATCCTGGCTCTGCTCTAGCAGCACCCCAGCACCGTGGGTTTGCTCTCCAAAAGCCATGGAAGCACCACCACCACCTTCCAAAATGTGCCACCTCTGAGCCCTCTGCCTTGGCACAGTTCGGTTACAACGAGATCGTTCTTTTTTCCCCCAAAATTACCTTCCTGGCTCCATTTAGAAGCAAACAGCCCTGGGTTTACACAAACACACCGACCTGAAGGGAGGCACAGCCTCTCTCAGAGCTCCATCGATTAAATCTCTCCTTTGACAACAGATCCTGCACTTTAACCGGGGGGGGGGGGGGAAAGCTGCCTTTGCTGCTCAGGGTTTGTTTATAAAATACTGCCAGTTCAGGAGCCATACACAAAAAGAGTAGGGAAGGAAGAGGCTCAGAAGTGCCTGGAAACAATTCAGTGTGACCACAGGGAGATTTACTGCATCTTTATACAGGGTGATGGAAGGGACCTCAAAGCCCACCTCACTCCCAACCCCTGGCATGGGCAGGGACACCTTCCACTAGGCCAGGATGCTTTATTTAGAGCAGAGCCAGTGTGAAACAGCCTCCCAAGCTCACCTCCCCTCCAGGGACCTCCACTTCCCAGCCACCACTTTGCAAGGTGACAAAAAGAGTGGCAGCAGTCCCCAGGCCCCCCACAGCCCTGAGACAACATCCCCTCAACTCCTGTTTCTCCAGCAGAATACAGCTTCACTGGATCTGTGCCAGGAGAGCAGGTTTCACAAGCACTGCCCACAAGTGCTGCTTTTCCT